TAGGGCCCAGGCATGTCAACTAGCATGTGTGACGTCCAGACCTTCAAACACACGCAATCCATTTTTGGCATCTGGTTGAGGTTCTAGTAGGGCCTTTGCAACCTGTAGGTTGCCTGACTGATTGTACTACTGGGACAGGTCCTGGGTCTCTTTAGTCCATCAGGGAGTATATTCCTCCTGGAAGCCCCAGGGGATACTCTTCTTGGTAGCAGCAATCAGGAGGCCAATAAACCAGTGATAATTTTCCAGTGTCACACTGTGCAAGCTTCAGCATTAGTGGGTCTCAAGCCTGACTCTGAGGGATCGCTTACAAGAGGATAATGCATTTAATGGTACATTCTTTGGTCTTTCTACAGAGGCTGCCATAATGCATGATTATGATTGCTGGCTATGATGCAACTGCTTAGAAATGGATTGAGGCTAAACTCATTTGACATAGGCCATTGAACAGATAACTTTAGCAACATGTTTCAGAAACTACCAACTGGGATTTGATCTAAAAATTAAAGTCTAGAGGTGAGACAACACTCCCTGGCCTTGTTATATCTGTATTAGTTATTCCCCTCCCTCTGCCAGGAGCCTGACTGACAAATTTGTAAGCCCTGAAAGTTCAATTTGGTCTTTAAAAGGCACAGCTACATCTCTAAATATATGCCTGCAAAAATTTAAATATAAAACAGATGAAATACAGATAAGCATCATGGGACAAGAGCTTATCCCATAAATTGAATATGCATCACAAAAGTGTATTCTCCAAAGATTCCAAAGGTACGGTGTTATTTTATTTCCCCCATCCTCATAGTCTGAGTTATTTTTAAAACAAAGAAAACTAAAACAGCCACAGCCTGTCTTAAGAGGAAACTGCAGGTGCTCAAAGTATCTGAAAATCTGGCCATTTGTATGGGAGCCACATTATGGATTTAGACACCCAAGGCTGGTCACCAAGCGTGCAGGCAGAGGTGACAATTTTTTGCCTGATCTGGCCAAAGAAAGTGGTCTATAGGCATGACCAAGCACAAGTGCACAGCTGCAGACTGATTAAAAAATGTCCAACTGGGTGAAAATCTGAACCCTAATTGCACGAGGGGTGAGATGAAGACATTTCAAAACAAAGTGTCTTCTGTAACTTGTGTCTACGCTGCCTGCCAGCCTGTTGCGGTTTTCAGAATGGGAGGGGGGAAAAGAAGCAGATGGAGTTTAGTTTGGGGTTTTTTCAGCCCCCCCTGGAGAGTGGGGTGAGTGTATTGGAACCCAATTGGTTGCAATTCATCCACCCCATCCTCCAGTGCCAGCTTGGGAACCCCTAGAATGAGCTCCTTCTGCTCCCTTTCCCCCCTCTCATTCTGGAAACAGCAACAGGCTGGGAAGGAGGAGGGGCCATTGCTAGAGAAACCAGCTGCAGGCTTGCAACCGGCAGCTGGATTCCCCTCCCCACTGGAGCCAACAGTGAATTTCTATTTGGTCCAGGGGATCATTGTAACTCAGAATGCTTCCTGAAAAGCATTCTCAGTTACAGCAAGGAGCTGCACTTCTGTCTGGGTGCCTAGTCTTCAGGTGTTGGGTAGCACTTTTTTTGTAGTTAGTTTTAGGATTATAACATTAGAACTGCTAGGTGATCTCATGGCATTTGTGTAGTTTCTCTTTTGCCTCCCCACAAGCATGCAATTCCTCCTCGCACTCCACTGCACTGGCAAGGGTAGGTCCCATTATAGTGTAGTTTCATTTCCTTCCCAAGTGAGCTCTGCTGGTAAAACTGGATTAGCAAAATTCCTATAGGATTGGCATAATCCAGCTAGAGACAAGAGGCTACTCTTTGCATCATCTATTGATCTTTACTTAATTTTGGTGAAACTTCTATTTAATACAGATATTTCACTAGTTTTATCTGTCTCTCTATTTGAAAGACTTCTCCTAGGGCCTAACAACAATGCCTATATGTAATACCTTTATTTCAGTGGGAGCTTCAGTGCTCAGTCCCTCTGATAATTGTTATTATACAACATCTGAACAATTAAAGGCAACTAATCTGTGAAATAATGAATACAAATAGATGCGTCTGAAGGCAAGGCTCTTTCACTTAGCAGCCACAGAGAGTGTCATTTTAGTTGCTTTAGAAGCCATGTTCTTTACAGCCATTTCAGTGTGAGATAGTGCATGCTGGCTCTATTCCAACTACTGTTCCCTTTAGCACAGCAGGAGTTAAATCTGCAAATTTCAAAGGGGCTGTTGTCCTTGCCCTTTTTTACAATTCATACCAAGGCATGATACGTCATCTGATTTTGGAACCAGAAGACGAGAGTCATTTCATAACTCCATTTTCCTTCCTCCGACACTTCTGGCTAGAAAATCCTTTGGCATGCTAATTTTGAAAGCATGTCAAAGGGAATTCTCTCTGATAAAAAACACTAGGCAAGCAACTGTGCTCTTAACATAAATGACATTAAGAGCAAATGTTTTCAGTTGCCATCATTAAAGACTGTGTGAATCCAAAGTCATGTCCACAACACCAGCATGTATTTTAGGGAGAAGCAAAACAAAGCCAAATGCTTCATATTAATATGGATCCTGTAGAAAGGATAAGTTATTCTTAATTCAGAAGGATGGAAACGGTCACTATCTCCCCTTTCTTTCAGTGGAAATAAAATAATGGATCCACAGGACCGGGTACCCGTTTTGCCTCATAGTAGAGTACTGTGAAAGTCCCAGTTGACTTTCACTCCACTGTAATAGGACTTAATTTTGTTAATCTCCTTGGAGCACTAAGATTATTTACTACAGAGGAGGAAAGTGATTTTATACCTTCTCACCCAACTGTTACTGACCCATGGAGAGGGAATAAAAAAAAAAAAAAGGGAAAAAAAGAAAGAGGAGGAATACCTGGATCCCAATCTTATTGCAGCTTCTCTCCCCTGAGAATGAAGCTGGGCCACCATATACTCAAGCTGGATTCATTGAAAAAGAGCCCTGCTGCCACAGAGGCGCTTTGGTAATGGGGAAAAAAAAGAAAAAAAAAAAAAAAATCACACATATAGTCCTTTTTGTGGAGAACCCCCCCCCCCCCATTTTAAAAGGTATTTAGCATAGTTTCTTCTCAAGTTTAAACCATGAGGCATTCTATACACCCATCACAAAGGGCCATTTCATTGTAAAAACAAAAAAGGAGATGATTTAGTAAGAAAGCTGGACTGAACTGGGGGCGTGGGATATAACCCTCAGGAACTAATTGGATAATTCCACAGGAAAGCAGCAATAGGATGATGGGGCTTGTGAGGAAGTAGTAACTAGGGGCTTTGTACATGGCATAAAGGAAAGAAATTGCCTAAGCCTTCAGAGGCTGGCTGCATGGAGGGAATGTGTGATTATAAGGTAGTGGTTCATTCTATCATGTGGCTCTGTACCCATTAGTCAGGTGCATCATCCCTCCCTTCCATCTCTGCTGGGAAGTTATTACTACCTCTTAAAACTCCTTTCTTTGACTAAATAAGGATTCAAAGGCAACTCTGCAGTTTCCGAGCTATTTGTAGACCTTTCCTGTGCTGACACGTGACCCAGCATATGCTTCCAGGGAACTTGTGTACTTACCATCCACTTTTATAGGAACACATCCACAAACCCATTGACAGAAGCATCACTAGGGAGGAGTGACCGGGTAGTTGCCTGGGTGTGTGTTGGGGGCAGCAGGAGAGTGGGGGCTGATTGAAAAAAAAAGCTGCCATTGCAGTTGCACAAATTGTGCTGGCAGTGCAGTAGTAGTTAGAAGTAGCTGCTGCCCCTGGGTGTCAAGCTCGTTGTTACTATTCTGCCCACTGGCCAAGAATGAATTAGGTATAAAATCACTAAGAACCCAATTCTTTGCTCGCTTACACTAATTTCACATACATGTAACTCCAGGGATAACATAGCACAACTCTGATGTAAGCAAAAATCAGAATGAAGCAAACAGAAATCTAAAAGGAAAAGAATAAATAGCTTTGTTTAATATTTTATCTGAAAGCCAGGAAGGAACCTCACTCTCCCACACAGAAGATAAACTATTTATCAAGTCAGCCACACTGTGTACTTCCACACTGTGTCAGCCAGAATATAGGACCAGCCTGCTAGAATCAGCAAATTGTTCTAGCTTCCTGCATTTTCAGCCTCAGATGAATGTAGTGTTGGTTAATGGGATTTCTTACTAAAAGTTGTCCAGGGATAGCAAACATTTCAAGGGTGGAAAACCATTTAAAAAAATTTAAAATTGCATTTGCTTTTAAAATTAGATTTATCTTTTTTTAGATGGGGCTGAATAAAATATATTCGTTTATCAGGAACCTGGCACTCAACAACCTGTTTATCAAGGCTAGCAGCTTTTTTACATTACTAGCATTGGCTAGTTTACATGCAAGTGGGACTAGGGCAGTCAGTTTGAGTTTCATCATGTAAACACTAAAAGGCATGAACATGAATAAGTAAAACAGAACATGAATAAGTATTTCATGGACCACTATATTTCAGCTGAAATTTAACAACCTTATGCACTGGTATGGGCCCAAAAGCTCCCTATGCATTTTGATGATTCATATTGATTAGAAAGCAAATTAGACTATAAACCAGCATGAAACTAAGCAGGGACTCTTCATTCATGAATTGTCCAACTTGAGGGGGAATGGAAAACAAGCAGCACATGTACAGATTGTGAAATGGGCCTGTGCAGAATGTGTTTGAAGAATGAAGTGTATATTCTTTCTTTCTTGAACTATGAGGTAAGGATGCTAGCAAGACAGACAGATGCATACTTCTACACGTCACAGGCCACAAACTTTCATTCCCCTTCAAATTTTAAAAAGCACTTAATACGAATAACAAGGTCCCTCTTTTTTTGGTTCCAGTCTTGCAGTGATTTTTATTATCATTGTTTTGTGTTTTGAAAATTCATTTACTGTAGCTATTTCTTAAATCAGGCAAATGCATTTAGTTTCAAATATTCAGCTGCTTTTACTTGTAATCAGGCTCTACCTTACCTGAATCTAAATGCCAAGGGTCCGTGGCAGCCGACATTGGTGGGATTGTCAATGGAGATGCTCCGCAGTTGGATTCCACTAGTTCCCCTTGAATGTGGACGTGAGAGGAGGTGTTGGTAGGTCTCAAGGCTGCTTTGAGGGGGGCAATCTGGTTGAACTGCACTCTGGACAGGCAGCCAGTGAATCCAGGTGTATTGTATTTATATATATCTTGGTCAATCTTCCCAGTTTCTAAGAGGAAGACAGAATAGACTCATTAACACAGTTTACTACAGGCTCAATGCATTTGATTTTTTTTTTTTTTTTTTTTTAAAACACCCACTTTCTGGAAAGCCAGCACATTTATGACCTTGACACTTTTCTGCTGCTCAAACATTAAAATGAGAAATTTGACTGGGAAGGATCACCCCAGGATCCAACTCACCCTTCTTCAAATAAAGAAGAGAACTGCAGCTGTCAAGACATCTTCAGTTGATTTCTCTCTTCACTCATCTGAACTTCTGGCGTGACTGCTTGCCTTCATTCATCTTGGCCTGCCTCCTCCCATCCTCAATCTGACACCCCTCCTCCCCTGCCATGGACAGCACTGTTGCACATCTGTGCTTGCCATTAATGGTCGTTCCTTTCTGTGATTCTCTTCTCCTCCACCTCATTTCCTTTTCAGTAAGATCAAGAGCTCTCTGGAAGTATCCTCTTTCTAGTTTCCTATTACTGGAAATTTTGAAGAGCTGAGTGATTGCCTGTTTGAGACCATACCTCATTCTAGAGCCTGTAACCAAAGTGTGGAGAACCTGATGTCTCCTGACAATCTCATCTTCCTGATGTCAATTAATAAACACAATGCCAAGCTGTACAAAGTGCATGAAAGACTTGGTGATACAACCCCTAAACATTGAACATATCCCTTTACTATAAGGGACTCTTGCAGCTCATAGATACAACTGTTACATTCCTGCCCCACACTGCCATTTAGTCATGAGTCCTCTTCACAGTACATCAACAAATGCAAAGACAAAATTGGTATTCTGTATCAGTATTCTGCATTAGAGAGCAGATTAACATTTCAAGGCATTATTGAAACTTCAAACTTTACACTTTCATTCCACTGAAGAATTCAGCTTCATTTTCTCCTCAATTGTGCAGGGTAAATAGAAATAAAACATGGCAGAGTAACGCTTACACTTCATAAAAGCAGATTAGCCTGGAGCCATCGAGGGAGTTGGTCAGATGTGCATTTTGGCTTCAATTTCTTTTCTCCCAGATCTCAGTTCCTGGGGCTGGCAGGAACTAAGAGTGAAGTTCTGGCCTCAATGAGATTTGTGGAAAAATTCTCACTGAACTTCAGCGGGGAAAGGTGGCAACTTGGGACTATATTGCCATGGATGGAGAAAGAGACACCTCAGTTTGCTTAACAGCTTTTCAGACTTTTAGTGTTAACATGCCCAAAAACCAAAACAGGCAAAAAGAAGGTATCTTACGGTTGGGGGTTTTGGAGAGTGGAAAGAAGGCTTTGATAGGGATGCTTTCCAAAGAGAGGATGGCGGGCAGGAGGGGGAAATGTTTATTGTACAACTGCATGCAACATTTGCAAAAAACCCTCAAAATATATCAAACATCTGTTACTTGTTTGAAATTGTAACCCTTAAATTTTCTGACAATAGAGAGTTTTAACAGACCAACATGGAGCAACTATACAGTACATAGCACAGTAAGATTCCTGCTCTTTGTCACAGCCCTGTAGGTACTATTATCATTCAAATATATCCTTGCTTCCCATACCAATAATTTTGCACCAAGAGCAGATAGTATTTGCTGTTCTGCATTGTTTCAGCATTATCACACATGTAAAACATGACAGTTTTAAGTGAGTTTCTTTTGGAGATTTTGGGTTAAACATTAAACATGGAAAGGGGCAGAAATGAGAGAAACAAAGATAAGTTTTGAACATAACCTCTTATCCAGTAATTTTCCCACTCTTCTCATTTATACATTCTGTTTCCAAATCAAAAAGATAATACACACTAGCATAACCATTGGCAGTCCCGACTCAGTATCAGTTTTGTGCTCAAAGCCCTCTGCCAGAAGGACCTATGCTAGAGATTCCAGCAGTTTTGAACTAGATTCTTTATTGTATCCACAGATATGAGCTGAGTGGCTTCAGTTTGTCCATTTTCTCTTCTCCAGCTCCTGTGCCTTTATCAAATCTAGTCTTTATTGACTATACCTCCATTTCATACATTGTCACCAAGAAGTGACTGTCATCTGTGACAAAGGGGAGATTAAACCCATTAAGATCATCATATGAGTCCCTCATCCAGCCCTCCTTTCAGAATCTGCACATGACCCTTATGAATGACTTCCAATATTGGCATTGTGTTTTTATAGTAATTTTGTTTGCAATAAGCCCACATTTCACAGGCAGCACCTAGAAACAGTGAAGAGGACAACGTTCATGAATTTGAATTTGTTACCCGTAAGCTATATCACTCTTTGCAAGAGGCAAGATTAATACTTGACCTACTGCTAAAGTGCCTCTTCCTAAAGTGAAATAAATATTCATTGCATACATACAGAATGCATACAATTTATTCCTGAGAAACTGTTTTCTAAAGAACAAAATTAGGTTATATGACAACTGATCCTTTATTTAAATACTGTAACCACTAAATGATTAATAGTGCAATAAATGACTCATTCATATTTATATGGATCTTGTTGAACATAATTCAGTAACAATGGTAAGAGTACCACTTAAAATCCTAATGAAATGATGATGACAAAAAAGCTACTAAGATGATGAGACAATTACATTTGTGCTACATTAGGAACCTTTCTACCATTTCCCTCTGAGTTAGTGAATAGAAAGTGACAAATAACTGATTCTAGTGGCACCTTGCCAAAGACTTCCATTTTCGTTAAAACATTCTACAAATGACAACAGTGTGAAATTCCTCATGTAAATGTATGAGCAATTCACATCACATAACTGCTATATAGTGGTGGTTTCAATGTTCATTTTGTCTTATAATTATGAATGTCTCCCCCGCCCCCAGCCTCATCTATGCCTATGGGGCTTTGCGTACTGCAGTTCTCCAATGTCAGCTATTGTATATAGTCTTCCATTCCATTACAACCTGCTATAAACACATTCCTTTAAAAGTGTGACAGTTATACAGTTATATAATGAAATATGCCATTGTCACCATGGTTCAGTCTATTGTTCTTCTTGGGCACAGCAAAACAACCACATGGAATCACTTAATTTAAAACAATGAATGCACAATCTGACACATTCCAGTTTTTAATTTTCAGTGTACCGCAGTCATACAAGTGTAACCCTTCTGCTGGGCACCGGTTGGCAGCAAAAAGGGCTGGGTTCACATTTTAGGGTACCTCAAATTATACCAGTGACTTGAGCCCCCACCCAGAAATCTGGGAACACTAAATTTGCTGGGGTGTCCCATAGAAACAAAACCCTCTCCTTGCAAGCAATGTAAACACAAAAATCCAAATTTACTACAAAGAATAAAAACAAACAAACAACCCCTCCCACTAAACATATTTTTAAAACTAACTGCAAAGTCTATAGGTGGCATCCCCTTGAGGGGGCTTCACCCATGCCCAGGCAGTCTGGGACTTGGGGCTCCCCAATTGGTAGTTCTGGGGGCCTGCACCCCTATACCTGCATTTCAGCAATGGGCTGGAGAGGGGAGCCCACACTGGAGAGTCCTATGAGTTGCTCCTTGGGTTCACTGCACCATGGCTGTGGGTCCTTCTGCATTGAAAGGGGCTCTGTTACTCCTGGATAAGTGGTAAAGTATTGACCTCCACTTCCACATGGTGGCTTTGAGGGGATAACTGTGGCTTTTGCACCCCAAAATTCCTACTCCTGATCTTAGCTCTGCTGGGCAGGAACCTGCAAAAGAACTTGAAGGAAAGGTCAGGTCTATCTTGCTGGGCCTGGAGTGGGCCGCAAAAGCTGGCCAGACCTATATCACATTGAGGCCTGGATCAACCACCAGAAGTGCCAGGTCTTAACCAGAAGTGCCAAGGCTTCACCCTGGCCCAAATCTGCCCGCCAAACATGCATTGGCTATGCATAGGGGGGTGCACGTGGGTACATGTGCACCCCCTGAGACTGGCTGTTCATCCCCTGGAAACGCCAGCTGCAAAACCGAAAGTGCTGGTGGAAGTGCACTTCTGGTTTCGCTGCTGGTGATTTCGGGCTTGGCGATTAGTCAAGCCCCTCCCCAACATTGGCAATCGGCTACTAGGTTACCCCCCCGGTTGGCAATCTGCTTCCCCCCAGACTCGGAAGGCATCAGACACCCATGAACATATGGCTGGGGTTCAGCCATACACTTAGGCTGAAATGCAATAGTTGTGAGACAGCAAAAAGGGCCGAGGGCTGCAGCCTGGACATCCGGTCTCAACTATACCACTATGCTGAGACACTACAGTTCCCAAGCAGAGGGGGCCAGTAACTGCCAGAAGCCATTCCTGGTCAGTCTGCTCCAGGGATTACTACCTTCATGGTATTATCCCCCTCAAGGCCTGTGTGGCCAAAACTGCCAGCAAAATTAGCAGGACTCTATTCCTGATCAATTTGCTCCAGGGTTCAACAACCCCACTCAAGAAATTAAAAAAAGGAAAAGGTGGGGGGGGGGGAGGGGGAAGGAAAGAGGGAGGAATAGGAGTCTCAAACTCTGAGACAGACCTCTCTCCCTGTACCTGAGGCTTTCCCCATCATGTAACTTTTGCTCACTGCTCCAGTGAAGCAGGGTGCTCCTTCTCCCCCATAAGGAGCAGCTTTTCTGGCTCCCAATTCAGCTGTGCAGCTCTTAGCAGCACCAGGAAGAAAAGAGAGAGAAATCTTAGTCAAGTTGTTCTTATATACCTCGTATGACATCACCCAAGCCTTGTTTAATTAGGGAGTGTCATGCTCCAGCCTCTCTCTCATTCAGTCTGCCTGGAGGATCTTCTGTTTTCTCTGGCTAATGAAGCCAGAGGGTTTTACATATTTTGCCCAAATACAGGCCCCAGCTTGCCATGTGCTGAGCACATGGTCAGAACAACAAGGGCCATCTTGCCCACATAAAACACACACAAAAACACCACAATACACAACCAAAAGAACATTTAACCATAGCAAATGTGCGCGAGAGTGTTAAATTAATACAGCTAATTTGGCTACTTTAGGGTCCAATTCTCTTACTCCCACTGGGAAGCAC